GGAGAGGATGTTTTTGAAACCGGTTGAGTGTATAGTGAACTTATGTCTGTAATAACAAGTTGTGTCTTGCGTTACATTTCTATTCATATCTTTTATGTATCGTGTAAACACCTGAAAGCTCAAATGTGGGTTTATATAAATCATTCCAAGTGTAATAATTTCTTAATAGTTTATGGTACAGACACTAAATGGGGATTACTGTACATGGGGATTACTGTACATGGGGATTACTGTACATGGGGATTACTGTACACGGGAATTACTGTACACGAGAATTACTGTACACGGGGATTACTGTACATGGGATTACTGTACACGGGAATTACTGTACACGGGAATTACTGTACACGAGGATTACTGTACATGGGGATTACTGTACACGGGGATTACTGTACATGGGGATTACTGTTCCACTTCACAAAATCTGTACTTCTGTTCTAATACCTGTAAGTACAGTAAAAGCTCTCCAGATAACACCGACCAGCGCTCTACAACACACACGTCCATATAAGACTTACTGTACTATCCCTGGACAGCTGCTTGTATAGAGACACCCGCCAGCTTAACCAACACTCAATACGAGACATTTCCCTAATGGTGGCAGAGCCGGTAATCATCTGTAGTACATGCCGATCAATACAGCATTAGAGGGATACTTTGTTACCAAGGGAATTAATGGTATTTTTGACGCGGTTCTTTGGTTAGGTTTGTCGTATTTGTCTACCGCTCGCCATGTCAAGCTCTCACTTCATCTCTACATTATTTATCACTTCTTGCTTCACCCTCCTCCTCACTCTCGGTGTTTCTCTCTTATTCCCTTTACTTCTTCCTTCCCCTTTCAAATTTTATCTCCCTTTCTCCCTCTCACTACCATTTCCTCCCTTCCTGTTTCAGCGCTGTGTGTGTGTGTGTGTGTGTGTGTGTGTGTGTGTGTGTGCGTGTGTGTGTGTGTGTGCGTGTGTGTGTGCGTGTGTGCGTGCGTGTGTGTGTGTGTGTGCGTGTGTGTGTTTCCTGCGGCTTATGTCCAGTATGTTAAGGGTCGTTAGCGTGATAATGAATGTTAGATTAGGTTATGTTATGTTAAGTTACGCTATCGTTAAAATTAAGGTTGAAATAATATAGGGGTTACTCTTACGACGTAACACACACACGGACATAAATACACTCTCCCTCCCAGCAAGTGTAGACAAGATTATGTAAGATTGTTTACACGTACCTAAGATTAACTCTCCAAACAACCCCTTGCAAACCAATTTACATAATTATATGTTGTAAATTATACGAGCATAGGAGGACAACACGGAATATTTTTTGGCTATAATTTTGTTTATTGTTATGCTTAGTGATCTTCTATAACACATTATCCATCACTGTTGTCTAATGGATGAACAATGAATATGAGCTGACGGAACAATGGCACCTCAGAGACGGGTTGAGGAGGGGGTGGGGGGGCAATGTGCGATAGTAAATATAGGAATATATGTATCATGCAGTCACACAGAAACTAGGGGAAATATGTGGTCTTTTGTTACTCGCAGCTCACTGTAAGACACCAAGGCGTTTAAATCAACTTTATTCAGTAAGGGAAGGGAGGACACTTCAAAACAACCTACACTCGCACCTCATCCAGAGACGACGACGTATCTCACAACAAATGGGAACTTAAGACCTGACCAAATACAGTACTGTACACCAACATACCTTGACGATGTTGCTACCTACAGACGCCACATACACACACACCTCTCAACACAAAATCCCAACTTAGACTGATTTTAACAAAGGAGTCAGGATCAGGAACTCTAAGGGACGTCACGCGCTTATGACGATACAAATCATAAGCGCTTGTTATTGGCTCAGGCTTAAATCACTCACATTGTCATTGGTCAGTCCTCCTGGTTACTCGTGGCTTTTGGCGTGGCAATACTGTTAGCTTAGTAGGCGCGTAATCATTGTCTAAGCTGACTTTTCCTACTCAGTCTTCATACGTGATATTAGTTACTCTAAAAACGACTTCATTACGACTCAGCTGGAAGTGAATAACTAGTTTAACAGTTTGAGATGGGATGACAGTCGAATTCAGTGCCGTCCTTACTGCCTCATAAACCAACTAACAAAGGGTTTATGTATAGTCTCTCTTAATATGGAAATAATAATTCATAATATCAAAGAGTTAATGGAATTAAATAAGCAGTACGCCTGGGAACAACAAAAACAGCTCTGGATATACAGAGTCAATAACATTAACTTGAAAATAAACATACGGTGAACTTTATACTGACCAATCACGTCTCATTATTCTGACACATTAACACTCTCATGATCCTTCGTTAGGGGCGGATTTATTCTGCTTGAACCAATAATTAAATATAATGTTATTGTTAAGTAGTGTTATAATTTATAGTTAACATGAGGGGTTAAAAGATTAATTAGAGGCGACAAAAAGATTGAGAGAATGTTGCAAGGCTATTGTTGTTATTATTGGGGCCTACGTCTAGTGGACCCCAAGTCCAGAGGGAATCTAAATTGTAATGAGGTACCACCATTAGACCCGGGATCAACTAGTACTAAGGTCTAATAGAACTGGGTCTTATTAGAACTGGGGCCTATTAATACTGGGGCTAACTCACCATTACACATTCCAACATAATATCCCCAACAAACTAGGAGTTAAGTGACCCTGATTTATATAACACAATTATTTTTAGTTTCCAGGGAAAAAAATAAAGTGATAAACTACCTCGCTATAATGAAGGGAAAGAAAAATTTGTTTGTCTACTCACGTGTGTCCCTCTCCCACCGTCAACACACCACAAATTTATATATATATAAAATGCATAGCGTTCATGCCTCTCCGACCATCAATCAGTCAGGCTGTCATTTACCTGTCTGGGGGTTGGCGACCATGGCCCTCTACTTCAAATGTGTGTGTGTGTGTGTGCGCGTTCGTTTTCCGGCGTGTCTAACCTAACCTAACCTCCCATGGTGTGGTGTACCTCCCATGGTGTGGTGTACCTCCCATGGTGTGGTGTACCTCCCATGGTGTGGTGTACCTCCCATGGTGTGGTGTACCTCCCATGGTGCGGTGTACCTCCCATGGTGTGGTGTATCTCCCATGGCGTGGTGTACCTCCCATAGTGTGGTGTACCTCCCATGGTGTGGTGTACTTCCCATTGTGTGGTGTACCTCCCATGGTGTGGTGTACCTCCCATGGTGTGGTGTACCCCCCATAGTGTGGTGTACCTCCCATAGTGTGGTGTACCTCCCATGGTGTGGTGTACCTCCCATGGTGTGGTGTACCTCCCATGGTGTGGTGTACCTCCCATTGTATTCCAATAACATCATATATGTTTCACGTTACATTTATTCTCACATCTTTTTCCTTCTTTCATAATTTTTTGGATATTTTCTCCCAACTCCCCCTTCCGTCTCCCTCAACTATCTCTTAACTCTCCCTTCCGTCTCCCTCAACTATCTCTTAACTCCCCCTTCCGTCTCCCTCAACTATCTCTTAACTCTCCCTTCCGTCTCCCTCAACTATCTCTTAACTCCCCCTTCCGTCTCCCTCAACTATCTCTTAACTTTCCCTTCCGTCTCCCTCAACTACCTCCATCCTCCCTCCCCTCTTCATGCCCTCCTTATATTCTCCCAGCCTTTAAACAATGAACTGGGGAGGTTATTTTTAGCTTAAAAGTTAAGTTTTCGTGTAGGGAAGCGACGCTCTTGACGTGAGACTGTCAGATAGCTGTCATATCCTGAGTAGCGTGATGAGGGTGACGCCAGATCCCCGTTTATTATACAGACTGGGGCGACGAGTCCGGACTATGTGTGGGCTTTTATTCTCCACTACGAATAATGTAAGAGGCCGAGTGGATCGAGTACTCGCTTCCAGAGCCATTAGATGTTGGTTCGAGTTTAGGATGTGAAAAATGTTATATAGTTCCCTGTTGGTTACTCTGCCTCCTTATGTACTGTACCGAGGTTTAGTGTACACAGTGAACCCGAACACATGATGCGTTTCCTTCTCACCCTGTTGTTGTGGGTGTGTGAGACTGGGTGGGTGACACAGGGGTTGGATGAGACAGTGGGTGGGTGAGACAGGGGGTGGATGAGATAGGGGTGGGTGAGACAGGGGTGGGTGAGACAGGGGTGGGTGAGACAGGGGGTGGGTGAGACAGGGGTGGATGAGATCAGGGGTGGGTGAGACAGGGGTGTGGATGGGTGAGACAGGGGTGGGAGATGGGGGTGAGACAGGGGTGGGTGAGATACAGGGGTGGATGAGATAGGGGTGGGTGAGACAAGGGGTGGGTGAGGGGGTGTGTGAGACAGGGGTGGGTGAGACAGGGTGGGTGAGACAGGGGTGGGGGTGGAGACAGGGGTGTGTGAGACAGGGGTGTGTGAGACAGGGGTGGGTGAGACAGGGGTGAGACAGGGGTGGGTGAGACAGGGGGTGGGTGAGACAGGGGGTGGGTGAGACAGGGGGTGGGTGAGACAAGGGGTGGGTGAGACAGGGGGTGGGTGAGACAGGGGGTGGATGAGGAACAGTCACCATGTTTTCATTTTGTCTGATGAATAACCTATTGGTCAACTCTGAAAACAGACAAAGTAAACCAACCAAACATAAAGTAACGTAAGGAGTCTTGACTAACTGTACAAAAATAGATTCTAAATTCGTTAGGTTAGGTTAGGTTAGGTTAGGTTAGGTTAGGTTAGGTTAGGTTAGGTTAGGTTAGGTTAGGTTAGGTTTGTTTGGTTCGTTGTGTCTGTTATATAAGATATATCTGAAAACAAATAATCGTGCAAATTCACAGTTCAAGATCGTTATATGATAAAACTCAATCAGTAGAACGACATCAGTCCTTTAAGAGTTATTGACGATATTTCGTGCTGAACAAAGTCCAGAGTTGGGCATTTACGTAGCAAAGGTAACAGTTTTATTAATGTGTATGAAGGTGTTTGGATATTTCATGTAGTAATCCTTCCTTGTTCTTCATTCCAGAGCTTCATCTCGTGTGAGACGCTCGTGGCGACCACATGTCTACATAATTTGTGCTGGGAGACGCTTGACTCACACTCAACACTCATTGTGAAGCAAAAGTGAGTCGTGATGGCCTGGCCCAGCTTCATCACTGATGAGGTCCCGACACCCTGGTCTCACCCAGCCAAGTGGCTTGACCTGAATGTAACAGAGGATTGGGTAAGCACAGGAGGTGGGCACCTGCCGGTGGTCACTGAGAGTGATGCGGGGACATTGACGACCAACGACAGCCATGGCCTAGCCACAGACAACCTAAGTTTGGTTACAGACAGCACGCTGGTGCTGATCTCCAACACCTCTGCTGTAGAGGAGGCCGCCCCTGGCAGCACGAGGGATGCAACTCTGGTAGTGTGGGAGATCGTGACGCTTCTGGCCATCTTCGTATTGACGGTGTTGGGCAACGTGGTAGTGCTGTTCATGCTGTTGGTCCGCCACAAGAAGCTCACCCGCATGTGTTATTTTATTCTCAGCCTCTGTATATCTGACCTCATCACCGCCTTCTTCAACGTCCTGCCGCAGCTGGTGTGGGAGGTGACTTACAGATTCCACGGTGGAGGCTTCCTGTGTAAGGCGGTCAAGTATGGGCAGCTGCTGGGACCTTACCTCAACTCCTACATGCTGGTGATGACGGCCCTCGACCGCTACCAGGTGATCTGTTACCCGCTCTCTAACTGCTCCTGGACGCCGCGGAGATCCAAGAACATGATCTATCTTGCGTGGGTGCTGGCCCTCGGGTCCTGTACGCCCCAGATCTTTATCTTCAGCTACCAGAAAATAGACAACGAGTCATGGGACTGCTGGGCCAACTTCATCCCTCCGTGGGGCACCAAAGCCTACGTCACCTGGTACGCTCTCTCCGTCTTCATAGTGCCTCTGTTTTTTTTAATATTCGCGTACTCGTGCATCTGCCGAACACTTTGGGTCAACTTCAAGCACAAGCAGATGGGTGAGCATTCACACTGCTGGCGGGACACCCGACGGTCGCAGCTCCTGGTACGATTGCGTCCACAGAGACACCGTTCAGAGGGTGAAATCTCCACCTGCATCCACGACCCGCCGATGGAGAACATTGGTCCGCTGCTGAACTCCTCCACGACACTACCCACGCCCATGGTTAGCGTCCATAAGCCTGCCATCACTAACGGGGCGAGTGAGCAGACTTCGAGGGCGCCGCGCATGACCAACCCTCGCTCACACTCCATCAGGAGTATCAGCCGCGCTAAGATCAAGACCGTGAAGCTCACCGTCACGGTCATCTTCTGCTACGTCAGCTGCTCTGCTCCCTTCATCTCCGTGCAGCTGTTGCATGTATGGGACCCTAACGCTGCCACCAACCCATTCTATAAAGGTAAGTTGTGTGTGTGCATGAGGATGCAGTTCCAGTGTTCCAGTGAACTATGTTACTGTTTAGAATATGTGAGTTTGGTGAGTAGATTTAAGGGGTCCCATTCCATAGTTATAATAGGCAACAGTCCTAATGCTCTCAATTCTAATGTTTAGGTCAGGTCATTGTGGGAGTTTTACTAAGAGTGTGCTGTTCTTCTGGCAGGAGCGGCCTTCACCATTCTGACACTGCTGCCATCACTCAACAGCGTCGTCAACCCCTGGATCTTCCTCGCCTTCAACGAGAACATGACGCAGGTGCTCCGCAACGTGTGCACCTGCCGCCTCAGCCTCCGACGGGGCCCCAGGCGCTCCCAGACCTTCCGGAGCTCTGACAGTAATAAGAACTTCCGCCTGACAGTGTTCACCACAACAGAAGGGGACGCTGGTCACAGGGCCTCCATCTCCCAAAGAAATACCGTCACCCACTACCACAGCACTAATGACTGATGGTGCCTCCATACTACGGGTGTAACACTTTGTATCTTGTCCTCATCTACTAAGCACTTGCCAGTTTGGCCTAAGCAACTCTGATGTAGCATACGGTATGGAAGGCTTAATTATTTTTCTCTCATCCTAAAATACTTCTTGGTGTGAGAGATGTAAAAAGAGTGTGAAGCTGCAGGACGAGTGTACTGTGGCTTGTATTTTTCCCTATTAGGAACGCTTAGAGTGTATATTTCTAGCTAATTCTTTCTTCTTATCTGTCGAGGGGGGCGGTGTGAGGAGGAGGTGGCGATGGGAGTATTAACTGTGTCGTATGTCCAGAGAATAAGTGGTTGAGTGTCGTCCATACATTACTATACTCTGTGTTTGGTGTTGACTGTGTCTCTCCTCATCTGGATCAGGCGACCCGGAGAGCCGCTGTACAGTCCTTGGTCATGACAGTGTTAGAGACGAAAAGTTTTATGGTCTTCTACGGGGGCTTAGGAGGGAGGAGGGGGAAGGGGAAGGGGGTAGTTAGTTAACAGAGGGTTGTGATGAAGCAGGGGGTAGAGGGGGCGTAGACGTTTATTATTATTATCGTGTGAGTCGGGAAGAGAAGTTGGTCCCACTCATTGTCACATCAGAGTGGGAGA